AGATATTTATAAATTTTGATATAATTCTGACATTTTTTCATTAAATAATCAATAAAGATATAAAGTTAGCTACATTTATGGTTATTTTTAGTTTTTTATAATTTAATGATATTTTTAGTAAGATATTATACCAATATGTCTTAATAACTTTGTTCTTCATATCAAAAAACATATATTTGAAAAATTTCGCGAAATTCTATTCATTATTTATCATATATATGATATACAAATTTAAAAATTCCGAATATTTATGACGACCACTGTCATATTAAAAATATTTTCCATGCTTCATATATAAAAAATTTCAAGCTATACATATATTCTTATTTTTTTTAGTAATATTTCTATATTTACACCATTTCAAATGAATGTGTAATTTTAAATCTGGGCGATGCTTTTGAGAGGAGTGCTGCACATACGTATGTACATTTATAAATGAGATTTATGCATGCAAATATAATATGAAAGAGAACTAATTTTCAATGTGCATCTAATTATAAAACCTAAATTCGATTTTGCATACGTAACGATAAGTATATAACACAAATTTTTATAAATACATGTAACACGATACATGTAATTAAAAGAGGACAAATATTTATGCGTACATACATGTAACGAACGACTCATACAGTATGTACATGTATATAGTGTTGTAAGAACTTTCCTGCCACGATTGTACATAATCAAATACAAAGCATTTGTACTGGTCATAGAGCCTCTCGATTTGTGCAATAATCTATAGTTTTTTATATATATATGTACAAAGATACTCTTGATATAACGACCTTCGATATAACGAAGTTTAATTAAAATCGCGATATCGATATAATGAACTTGAGTTCAGGAACAATTTATTATAAACCATATAATAATTCCGCTCGATATAATGTATAAAGAAGTTTTTGAAATTTTTACATATAGACCCGACTACTTCGTTATATCAAGAGTGGCTTTGTACATTCAAATAATATTTGGTTTGCTAAATTTTATGTAAGTTTTAATTTTAAATTTTCAGCTCTGATACGTAAATACTCAATCAAATTGTTTGTTTGGTCAATTGAGCATGATTTAAAATTTTGTCACAACCATTCTTTGATATTCTTTGCGTATTGATAAGTCTACTTTTGTCAAAAAAAAAAAATAACAAGAATTTTAAAAATAGATTATTGCATAACTGAAAAATCATGCTTTTCTCTATACATTGATTTGCATTTCGTACACTAGAATTTCTTTGTATGTATGCACATGACATTTCGTACACTAAAATTTCTTTGTATGTATGCACATGAAAAAAAAATACGATGTAAAACATTTGGGTAAGCTGCATTCTTGTGTTTTTCCTATAAGAAAGTTTTCAATTTTTAAAATCTAAAATGAATTTCCATTTAAATCATTTTCTCATATCAATGGTCATAATGGTTGATGGATCATAAATTCCAAGGAAAAACGCAGTGATATAGAAGTTGGTTCATTCACAGCCACATCTACACTTATACCTATAAATTTGCTTTGGTTTTACAATATTGAGCAATCTAATGATGATAATGCTGATGTTAAAGTTGGCAAATTTTTTCCTTTTTAAACACTTAATAGAGACATTTCATTTGATATTTAACTTATGAAACCATGCAACTATATGTGTATTTTTCAAAGTTCTATGTATCTGAATTACGGTTTATAATTAATCTTATAAGAAAACACAAATACATATATAAATGTAATAAGTGCATGTACATGTATTTTGAGTAAGGTACTCGCTTGAAACGTTCTAACCTGTGTTATTGTGCAATCTATATTTTTAAGGATAAAGAAATTCGTGCTGGGTGCAATGAAAATTTCTCAAAGATAATTGAACTTTGTTATAATTAATTTAGACCAAGTAAATGTTTAGGTTAATTTACACAGAAAATAAATAATGTACAATATTATCCTAATTCTCAGACAGGAATTTTTAGCTAAATTATATATATATTCATATTTCTTATTTCTTATATACATGTACTCAACTCAATGCACTTTAATTATAAAGTTTATTTAATTCTTATAAATAGCACACTAAATAATCGGTTGTTAATAGTTGTTGAAGTTCAAAAGTATTCAAAGGTCAAATTTTGAACATATGCGGGAGCTGACTTGTAATATATATCTTTTCTCTTTCTGTAAAATTGCTATCCTTTAATAAATTCATAATTAATGCTAAAATTCATACGTGTTTTAATAACTAATGCTAATTATTTCAATATATATGTTCATGGTGCTTACAGTACAATACATGTTCTTTATGTATGCCAGTAAGTACTACACGTATACAGAACATGCCCTACTAAAGAACACCATGAATCTGATCATGCGTGTCAATGTAGCACTGAATGCATTAAAATTTGACTAAATACATGTACATGTAATTGGTGCTACTAAATACAGCCTAGAAATATAATTATGATACACGTAATAAGTTTCTTCTGTTATTGTCGTATCGTATTTATTCCTAACCCCTCAATACCTCAATAATGGAAATAACACCCATTAATATACATAACGATAACGATAAATTAAACAAAAAAATTCCAAATTACGAAAAAGCTGTGAAGGATTTTTTCACCAATATTGAAACAGGAGACCTTTATGATTACACAGACTATGTCCTAAACTTTCTTAAAACCACCGATTCAAAAGAATCCAAAATGATCGAATACCTATCAAGTCATTGCAATTCTCAAAACCAAGTGATCCTTGGCGCGATTTATTTGGAGATGGACGAAGCAAAAAAAGCATTTCAAGAATTCAAGAAAGCAGCTGAGATGAACAACCCTCATGGACAATACTTTCTTGGACATTGTTATGAAATTGGGATTGGTATAGCTGAGGACGATGAAACCTCTGTGTATTGGAAGAAAAAAGCAGCGAATCAAGGGATTCCAGCTGCTTGTTATTTTTTGGGGTATCATTACGAACAGGGAGAGGGTGTGCGAGTGAATAAAAGAACTGCTTTTATTTTATTTCGAAAAGCATTTGAAAGTGGTTATAGTGCTGCTTCTCTCGAGCTTGCCATGACGTATGACGAAGGCGCTGGCACTTTGCAGAATACTCATAAGGCCATATATTGGTATAGGAAAAGTATAAAAGATGGAGATGTGAATGCATACGATTATTTAAGAGACTTATTACGCGGGGTACCTTGATGGAAAATAAGGTAATATAATTATTAGAAAAATATAAACTTCTAAATTATATCCATGTTGATGTGGAAGATCCTAATGAAAATATCGCAATTTATTATTTAAATGTAAAATAATAACTTGGTGCTCCTAACGAAAGTAATAATAGAAATTTTCAAACCATACCATATTGCAAAAGATTGTATCTATCAATCCATCTCGATCTCTCACGTGAATCTTTCTTTCTAGAATGAATCAACACACAGACATCACTTCATTAGTATCAACTAAAACAACAGATCTCCACAAACCTGCTTCTTAGCGGATCTGAAAACTGTACAGAATAGTCATAAAGCATATGAACAAATACATATAAAGAATTTTTTCGGAAATATGCATCAGCAACAGTCCTCGTTTTATGAATCGGAGGTTACTGAATATATTTTATAAAGTTAAATTCATGAACAGGGAATTTTGGTTAATAATTTTTAAATTAAATTAATGACATATTTTAGAAAGAAATTCAATACATTTTACATGTATAACGATACAAGAACGATCGATTATCAAATCCGTTTTAACATAAACTACATGTATTAACTTATTTGTTACTTTTTATGTAAGTTGCTTAAAAATCTCAAATTTTATTCCAAAAGAATCTTATACCGAATATGTCTTTAATGCCAATTTCAAAATACATGTATTAAACAATATGAGTACATGCATTTTAAATTTATTGAATCTCTATACGCGAACTCGCAAATTCGTTTACATGTAAATGTTATCCAAATAATATACTTTATATAAATTTAGACTTGAAAATAAGTAATATTTTTTACAAATTGCATTTATTAAATTAAAATATCAATATTATATATTAATATAATATAAATTGCTCATTCTAGAGACATATAAAATATTTATAATTTAGTCTTTTGTTTAAAGATAGCCCTGTTTCCACCATGGTAATTTGCAATTCCAACATGGTCATATCACAGGTTTGGAATTCCCAAATGTAAACATGCAGTAGCATATAATGGACATCTATATGTCGCAATTGCACTTGCTAATTTTCCCAAGCTTTGATTAGGACGCAGGTAAATTTCAAATTTTCTGGTCAACCTGGCAGACACAAAAATTAAAAGAGATGTAAATATGGAAACCTTACGAAAAAAAGGACCCACAAATTTTTTCGGAATTTAGTGTGACCAAATTTCCCGGAAATAGTCCCGGAACCGGTTCCGTATCAAAATACGGAATTTTTTCCTGTATTCCGAAACAATTCCGAAATGTGATCCGAAACAAATTTCATATTAAAATACAGAATTTTTTGCATTCCGAAAACAATTCAGTAACAAATCCAAAGCAATTATCATATCAAAATACGGAATTTTTTTAAATATATCGCTACATCAAATATCATACTATAGTAACAATAACTTTTCAAAAAAACAAAATAATCTCTATTTTCTTCTTGACTTCATCTTCAATTTTGAACCAGTTTTCGCAACTTGAACATTCTTTTCTTTAGAAGTAGTGTTCTGAGAAGGACTAGTAGCGGTGCCACAGAACTAATAGAAGTATCATTTTTTTTGATCGTCTCCTATAAAATAAAAATTTAACATTAAAATGTAATAAGTACAATTATTAATATATAGTGCTTACTTAGATTGTGTTGTTTTAAATGGACTTTTGTATTTTGCTCCTTTAAGACTTGCAAATGGGCAATTTCTTTATCAATCTCTTCAATTGAATTGTCCCGATTCAAATTTCTTCTAAAAATTCATATGTATTATTAATATTAAAGTATTAATTATAAAGAATATATAATATGATAATAATTACTATCTTCAAGTTGGTTATCATCATTTTCTTTATTTAATTCATCAAGTTCTTCATTAGAAGATTCATCAAAATCTGAAAGTTGTCAGATTTTAGCCAAAATTGCAGCTTGAGGATTTGATGGTTGAATAGAATTTATTGTAAAAAGATCTTCAGAATATTGTTTTCTTTTAGAGATTGTATAATTCATCATTTTAACTTTTTCTTTCCATCATGCAGAATCAGCTTTCTTTTTAATATAATTTCATTTATAATATGCCATAAAATAAATTATTATTAGTATATAATATTACAATAGTATTAAAATAATTTACCTCATCCTGCCATATATTGATATAAAGCTTCTTCAAAAGGCCAATATCCAATATAATTATTAGAACAAGAAAATTTTTTTGCTGCTTTCTTATATCAACTTTCACAAATATTCTTAGGAATTAAAGATAATTTGGCTTTTTTATCATCTTCACTTACTTTTAATAAAGTTTTTATAAAACTCTAAAATAAAAAATTAAATTTTAGATTTATTAATTAAAAAATCTATCTTTAAAGCAAGAATAACTTTTTGTTTAATATTTGTATACTGAGAAATATTAACTTTAGTTAATTATTTTTCTTAAGAATCATATTTTAATTTTTTATTTAGTAAATTAGAATCTATAGTGACTTTAGAATTATTTATAACTGGAGCAGATATAGTTAAACAATTAAAAAATGAAGTATACAAATCAAATTATTTATTATTTTTATATGTTTATTATTTTTTATTTATTTATTATTTTTTATTTATTTTAAAATATGTAAAAATTTAGATCAAAAAATTTTTTACATATAAATTTTATATTAATTTATATTAATTTAATTAATAAAATGATTTAAAGATAAATTAATAATATAATTTTTTAAAAAATTTATATCATATATTATTAATTAATAATAATATCATAATTAAATTACAATAATAACCAAAAGTAATAATTCAGAAGCTAAATTTATTAATAAAACATAGTGAAAATTGAAATTTTCTCTTTATATTAAAAATTATAATTTTATTAAAAATAATTTTTTTTATTTTAAAATAAAGTTTATCAATTATAGTTTAATATAAGATAAAAGAAAGTATTATAATACATATAAATATTATAATACAGTCAGAATAATATATGATATCTTGATATCTAGTGATCTGAATTATATCAAAATAATATTATTCGATTTATCATGACTATATGAATCAAATGGTAATATTTTAGTGTAATTTAGATCACTAAATATTGAGATATCATGCTATATATCAAGTTATTTGACAATTTACATCAAAATTTTAATATATGGTAAATTTTGGATTTGATATCTTGATATCAAGTAAATAAAATCACACTAAAATAATACTATTTGAGTTGTTATAACTAGATAAATTAAATAATATTAGTTTGATATAATTCTATCCACTTGGTGTTAAGATATTGCATCCAAAATTCAAATAATAGATAGTAACTAAAATGATACACTTTAATTATATTTAATTAATTATATTTAATTTTTACTCTTAAATAATAGTTTGTATAGTTATAATATAATAAGTCTCATAATATAAATAAATATATATAAACAGACTCAAGAACCTTAATAAAAAAAGACAAAATTAATTGCATATAATTCTTCTTCAAGTAGTTAATATATATAAAATACCTATAATAAAATTATAATAATAATTGATAATTAGATTCTTTTAATTCAAAAGAAAATGATAAATATTATAAATTGAATTGTTAACAAATTATTTAATACATTTAATTGAATAGTCTAAAGCTTTTGGCTAGAAAAAGCAAATATTTAAGTTAGAACTAAGCATAATAAAAAAATTCTGAATTACTTATCTCTTCTCTTTTTCACTTATATCTATTTTTATAAATAGTATTTGTAAATATTAGCATAGAACTTAGAAAATAATAAGCACTACTAGTCTAATCATCTATACAAATTAATTAAAAATAAGTTAATAATTAACCTATATAATATAATTAAGAAAATAATAACAAGAACTTATCTGATCTTACATAATCTTTAGTTACTTAGCTAATTATCATCAATAAATCTCCTAGATAATAATATAATTCTTTATATTAGTTATCTATTATGCCAGATCTTTTAGAAACTAATAAAATAATAATTTATTTATTTATATATTCATAAATTAATAATATAATAAAAATTTAACCATATCTTATAAACAGAATTATCTGTCTTTAAATTTATACTAAACTAATATACCACTATATAATAATTAATCTAAGTAGCATAATACTATTATGAATACTTTTTAAGCAATTAAAAATTTCTAACTGATTTTTAAATTCCAAAGTAATAAAAGTATTGCAAAAAAATTTAGTCTCTCTAAAATTATTCTAAAATATGCTATTAAAAATAATAGCTCTTTAATTATTCAAATCCTGTCAAAGTTTTAACTGACTATGAAGGATAATAACTTGTTAGCTATTGCTTAAATATGCAAAGACTTGGTTTTGGACTAATAAAATCAGGCATAAATTAGTATATAATAGAAATCATCAATAAAAAAAAATGATTTTATTCTTTTAATAAGAATAAACTGAGTTAATTATGGTAAAAATACTTTATAAGAGATTATTTTGAGCTTTTATTTCATATTTTACAAGTCATAAATGAGATACATACACAAAGAACTAATCCTATTATAATGAAAGATTATTTTAAAAAGCTTCAGAAAATTATTAAAAAATATTTACTTATTACAAATTATATTTGAAATATGAATAAGATAGATTTTATTCTCATTTCTGAACTTCAAAAAATTATTATAAAAAAGAGTACATATCAGGCTCATCAAGTTTCACATAGAAATTTTCATAAATATATTTCAGCATATTCAACTACCTTAGCTATTAGAATATATATTTTACTATTAATTATCTATAAAGAGAAGTATATAATTCTAAGTCTCTTAAATAGTATTTCTACTGATTCTATCATGAAATTTACAAAAATAAAATATATGTGAAAAAATCTTTTTCAAAAATATATTGAGTATTTTATTTACTTAATTTTACTTATCTATCCTATTTTATTAATTCTTGATGATCATAAGAATTATATTAATTATACTAACATCAACTTTTATCATAATAATAATATTCTTTTATATA